AACATCCGAGTTTCAGATTTACGTACATGTATGAGAGAGCATTGTCGTAATCCTGCTCTCTCATCATTGTCAGAATGTGCTACTACTACTGTACTAGTACCGGTACTAGCAAGAGTACATAAACCAACAACAAAAAAAGGTTAATGCACTCTTGGTACACTACTAGTACACGCTTAAAAGATGTTCAACTTCGTACCACTGAATGCGTTATCCGGCGAGTGTTGATCACATAATTAAAAGCTGCAGTATGGCAACATTATTAACGTGACTGCGATAGTATCGCGTCACACCCGGGCATGCATGGCGCCTCCATCTTCGCTCCTATCCGCTGTACTAAAGCACTGTTCACTAGTATCATCGTTGCTGTCTCAGGATTTGGTGGGTATAACTATAACCATGAACCTCTGAGTAACACCACACTTCAGCCTAGTTCCATTGCGAACTAGTATCTTGTGGCTCTGCCCTCGTGGTATTGAGCACTTCGTGCAAGGATTTAGCAATACAACCTACAACCTGTATTGCCCGTAATGTGCCGGTGACTGTATTTTGTGCACGACGGAAATTCAGTATTTTTCATGCAGTGGAAGCATCCTGAAAAGACTAGACCATTGCAATAGTAATTGTTGGAGCGCCAAACAACATGCCCGGACTAGGGACATTATTGATCAGGACTTTTGCATCCATCAATCGGCGTTGGCTGTGAGTGCGGTGACACTGCCAGAACGTATGCTCCAAAATCATAGCTGGACATATCCGACATTCTGGACTGCTGCTCGACAACGTCTGCTGATTCCCTAACACTAGTAATATGGACTGATCTACCGCTGCTGGGCCCATGGGAAAAACATGCAGCTGGATCATGGAAGGGCTGTGTCAATGTATCCCAGAGCCGAGGGTAACGAGGTGCAGAAATAAATAAATAAATAAGTGTGGAGCCAATTATGCACGCAGCTGACACCATGAATTACATTACTCGCCATCACTCAAAAACCAGATTGGAAGCTAGTGCAATTAATCAGTCGAGCAGCGAAACGATGGCGACACGTCCTCCATCTTGCACTTCCTCCTAGCCGAAAGCGAAATGCAAATTCCTGTTTTAGAGGTCAACTCGTCAGTACAGACTGAGTATGCAGCACTGGTTTGGCACAAGAGTAGGCGCTGAGGAAGTCAGTTTGTTCCGCACATCGACACATTAATGACACTTTGTGTAGCCATAGTGCAATGCTACCATCGTGCTAATTACTAATTATGCACCTGGACCCCGGATAATTAGCCATACAGGGTACAGAAAAGCGAGACCTCCTTTCTATGGGCAGTATGGAGTCTCCTGAAGCATACGCAGCAACCATCGATGCAATGTCAATACACATGGCTCCAGTTCCGAACAGTTACTGACCAGTGTCCGGCTATCCATGGGGAGACAACCACCTACCTACTTGAGTACTTACAGCGATTGCCAGTTTGTCGCCCGTGGAACGGAGCCTTCAACACACACGCAGTTGGATCAATATGGCTGTGCAGATGGCACCTCCTCGTCAATGCCACAAAGACCGTCACCTTTTTCTTTTTTCTTAATTTCGGCCAGTCGGTACATCTTTTTTTTGGGGGGGGGGGGGTAGACAGGGGAAGTAGCCATGTAGAGGCGTGAGCCCAGGTTTCGGCACAGGGAGTTTATATACAGCTCGCTCGACTCAACTCTACTGAGTGAAGAGGACCCACACCTTGATCTGCTGAGCTGCGTCGAGGGGATTTTGCAGTGAGACATGCGACCGTCACCTTGTTCGGTTCACACCAAACCTTTAACCACCAACCCAACATCACGCAGGCTCTTAATGTAACCACACGCCCCACAGCAAGTCAACGAACACCGTAACCTTGGAGTCATACTACAAAACAACCTCCAATGCAACGCGCGTGTATGTCTCGTGTTAGCCAACACCGCCCGCACATAAAATGACCAATTAGAACGTCGTGTTCAGCGATGAGCAGCCCGTATCTGCTTGCGGATCCCCCTCTTTGCAGCAGTCCATCACAACTCACTTCTTCACCATCTCCAACTCCCCACAGTAGCTTCCCGTAAACTCCTCAGTGCTATTGCCCACAATATCAAACACATCCGCGTTCCCCTTTACCTGCAAGCAACCGCCTCACCGTGCACGGCCAATTACAGAGCAGCCATATGCATACGACAATGAGAACATACACATTCAGAACATCACACACACACACACACACACACACACACAAACACACACCAACTCACCAATCAACCTGTTCCTTCACAGTTTCAAACAACTACCCCCCACCCCCACCCCCGACCTGCGTGAAGCAAAATTAACTTCTGTAGTACTAGTAGCTGACACTGTATGCAATCTGAACCCCATATCTCCGCGATTTGTTGGCTTCCATACTTGCCTTACTTGCCAGATTGGTGTTACATGATTGTAGACCGTAGGCTGATTTGAATCATAATTATCTGCCTTATTGGCCATGGGCCATGGTGAAAATAAATCATAATCAACAGGATGGAAGGATGTTGTCTATGTAACCCTGTGCTGAGGGGAGTGTAGAGCCAATTATCCTCGCAGTTGACGTCATGAATTCCATTATCCACCATCGCTCAACAACCAGATTGGGAGTGAAAGTCAGTCGAGCAACAAATTTATGGCAACACACCCTCCAACTTGCACTTCCTCTTTGCCCCATCCGAAATACAAATTCTTGTAAGGTGAACTTGACTGTACAGACTGAGTAGGCAGCATGCACTGGTTTGGCACAAGAGTAGGCGAGGAGGAAGTCAGTTTGATGATCACATCGACGCTAGTCTTGTTGACACATTGTGCAGTCGCAGTGCAATGATCTCATGACCATACTGTGCGTGTAATTACTAACTAGCACTACACCACTGCACCACTGCACCTGGATCCTGGATAATTAGCCGAACAGATGATAGAACAGCGAGCCCTCCTCGCTAAAGTCAGCAAGGAGTCTTTTCCAAGCATACCCAGCGACCCGGATCAATTCAATGGCATGTCGCCGCAACAAATACCCCAGTGACATGGCTACAGTTCCGAACAGTTACTGACCATTGTCCAGCTATCCATGGGGAGACAACCATCTACCTGCTCACAGCAATCGACCTCGCCGCCAGTTCGTCGGCCGTAGCCTAGGGAAACAATGAAAACTGGCAGACCTGCAAGTGTAAACATCAGCTGCTTGTCTGGTATCGCTTTGGAACAGAGCCTTAGACACACATGCAGTTGGATCCTATGATGGAAGGACTTTGTCTATGTAACCGTGTGCTGAGGGAAAGCGTGCCACTGTGTGGAGCCAATTATCCTCGCAGTTGACATCTCAATCACTCAACAACCGGATTAGGAGTGCAAGTCAGTCGAGCAGCAAAATGATGGTGACACGCCCTCCATCTTGCACTTCCTCCTAGCCGCAGGCGAAATACAAATTCTTGTAAGGTCAACCAATTACTTACTTGACTGTACAGACTGAGTATGCAGCACTGGTTTGGCACAGGAGTACGCGCGGAGGAAGTCAGTTTGTTCCGCGCATCGACACTTGCTGACACGCTATGCATGCAGCCGGAGTGCAATGATTCGGTCGTACTAATTACCAATAATTAGCGCTGCACCTGGATCCCGGATGAGCCAGGGTATAGAAAAGCGAGCCGACCTTGCTAATGAGTCTTCCCGAGCATACGCAGCAGCAGCAACCATCGACTCAATGTTTCGACCAATACACCTGGCTCCAGCTCGGAACAGTTACTGCTCCGCTATCCAAGGGGGAGTCAACCAGCTACCTGGTGATCGACCTCTCCGCCAGTTAGCTGTTTGCCGTCGATTGGGAAACAAAGAAAACTGGCAGACCTGCATGCGCTTATAAACATCATTTGTTTTTCTGTCTTCGCTGAGGACGGTGAGCCTTCGACAACATCCTTATCATTATAATAATTAGGGGTGAAACGAACGAACGAAAGTTCGAACATTCGTTCGAAAAATTTGAAAACGAACGAACGAACTCGCAAGATTGATAAACGAACACAGCAAGCAAGCATAAAGATCGCTTGTGACTAGATCACGAAGGAGCCGCGGGGGTTGGGAGATCGCGATCTTGCACGCTGATCGACTGCGTCTGCCTTGATGATCACTTGAAGCAAGTTGAAGGAGTTGAGTGTCGCGTCGGGACAAAGTTTCTTGAATTATTTCATGGCTTTGTGTCCGTTTGAGGTAGATTTGTATTCGTAGTGAAAGGATTCGAGTCGCTTGCCTTGTGACATCTGTTCCTGAAAGCAAACGTTCACTCGTTGCAATCATGTCAAAACGTTCGAGCCTTTCATCGCGGTCCGGAGTTGGAGCGGAATTTGATAAAGTGGTCGGGAAAGACGAAGTCCTTTTCTCAATTTCAAAAAGGTTCGATCACACAGCGACGACGCGCAATCTTCGCACCCACCTCAAGAAGTACCATTCTCCTGCTCTGACGACCTGAGCTAGCGATGAGAAAAAACTCTCGTCCGGACGATGGTGATGGACTTTGCAGCTAAGCTAGCTGCAAAACCCTGTGATTCAGCGCAGGCGGGCGCGATGAAAAAAATATTGCTGTTCTAATTCTGGCAGTGTACGTGTATCATGCGGTCACTGAGCATTCTCAGTGATTCTGGCCTCTGGTTCTAGCTTACATGTAGATCTACATGCATGATCACACTGTTTGTTTAGCATCACACCGTCAATCTGGTCAATACTGAACAGTGGCCAGCCAAGTACAAAGAACACCTGTACTGACAGACTGTCTTCAAAACAAATTCATCCATGAAATACATACCAGTAATGGAGAATGTTCGTTCGAGTTCGTTCGTTAGTGTGAGAGTTCGTTCGTATTCAAAATTCTATGTTCGTTTCACCCCTAATAATAATTATCAAGCCTTCCCACTGTACAGTCATTGTGTGCAAGATAGAAAGGTTGCAAAGATACTCTGGCCTTAGCCATCCGCGGTCCGCAGGAGGCCTTGAGCCGGGGTGAGCCCAGCACCGGCTATGGTAGATCTACACTAGACTAGGGTAGATCTACCAGTAGATCTGCAATGTCATGTGCTTGATTACTGTATGCTGGTTCACATCCATATTGATCTACCGGTAAGCTATGTTGCTAAAGATGTCGGAGTTGATCACAGTTTTAGTGCTGGTCTACTCCGCTGGCGGTTTTCTGGCGCAGTCGGTTGCCCCAGGCTTGCACAATCACAAGGAAGGATATGGCAGTGAACAGACAGACAGTTCGTTCTTGAAAAGTAAAAGTTACGGACACGCGCTGGGCGAAGTGGCATCTTTGACATCCCAGTTGCGCGATGCATTGAGCACCGGCGGACCGCAGTCACTACTCGACGTTCTGTTAGACCTAAGTATGAGCTCAGGAAGATCGTTCGGCGTGCCCAGAACTGAAATGCACGAACTAGATCTACCCTCGCAAACAAACACCAGAAGATCCAGGTCTCATCGATCGGAAAGGAACACTCGGGATCCGGGGAGCGGAGAAAGGCAGAGAAGACGCGGAGCCCCTACCAACTACGCTCAAGTGCAGGACAATGGTGAGGATGCTGAGGAAACAGGCAGTGGTGAGAACAGGTTGAGCAAGTTGCCTTCTCTTCTGGAGCCATTTACTTCCGAACAGGCGGCTCGAGAAGGGGAATTTGATCTACTGAGGCCAGATTCGGCGTTATTCCGACCACTCATGCTCCCCAGCGCCGTGGAGCGTAAAGACAACGAGTTCACTTTGACGTACCCTGCATTGGAACTCCTCGCACTCGACAATGACGATCCACATCGTATCTTTCATTACTCCTATGATGTATCGCAAAACGATGGGCAAACTTGGTGGCTGCATCCAGCACTGCATCTGCGGGAATTACCGGCTGTATGCCTGGACATCAGCAGCATCCGACCTGCTCTGGCCTTCAGCCACGCACGCCAACAAGTCTACCTGTTCGGTTTTGGCAGCCATCCCAACTGCTCTTTGGTGCAAAGCTGGAAAATTGTGGAAGAAAACTTCGAGTTGCTGAACGCTGTAGGGGGTGAGAAAGTGCCACGTCGATTTCACACTCTAGTGGCCGTAGATCAGGACTCGACGAAGCGCACGGATCTCCTGGTGTTTGGTGGTAGAACTAGATGTGCTAATCGCACAAAGTATGCACCACCGTGTCGCTATGGTTGGGTATATTCTGACCAAGTATGGAGACTGCGTATAGTGAATGCTGCTACTGGAGAACAGGAGGAGCAACCAGAGTGGGAACTGCTACATCCACCAGGAAATGCACAGGCCGTGATGACAAATGGGTCTCATCAGGAATCAGTGCGGCCACAAGGTAGAGTGTCACCGTTGGTTGTGTCGGTGAATGAAACAACACTGTTGATGTACAGCGGAACTACTCGAGTCCAAGGTGGATACACGGCACTCTGTGATTTGTGGATGTTTGAAGTAGCTACACGGAAGTGGACAGAACTGCCCGCTCCGCCACAGCGCTGTCTGGAACATGCCTGTAGCCGTTGTGTTCCTCAACGTCCTTTGGGGAGCTACGACATGGAGAATCAACAGCTGATTGTCGTCCAAGAACGTATCGTAGTGCGGGCTACCTTCTATATATTGGAAGGACTTGATGTGTGGGTATTTGACATGTCCAGCTTATGCTGGTCTTTTCATGGATCCACACTGCGCAGTAAGCAGTCCATAATGAGGCAACGCTATGTGAAGGGCATTGAAAAGTATACCCGGATGGAGGTGACTGTGCACGATCGTCGTGTGATTGTCACGAATGCATTCTTCATTCAAAGTGAAGAGCTTGTGTTCACAATCAAGTCCGACATGAATCACACTTGTTCATATGGTAATACTAGTGCTGTGACAACATCCCCGGAGGCTGCTGTTGATATCAATCCGCTTACAGCCCGGGAAGGTCAACTCTTTCAGTTTGGCGGGGATTTCAGATGTTTGCCACCTCCACCCGTGGAAGCTATATTGCACACAGCAAGACCTAAGTGGAATGAGACGACTGCATTGGTGTTACTTGGTGGCTTATGCCCCGGTACTGATCGTAATAGTTGGGAGACTCGGTCACCAAGATACAAGACTATGCCAGTATGGTTCTACCTGCCTAGTTCTGGTACCTACATGATGAAGAAAATCCAACAACCTGGTACCATGCCACCATTTCTAGTCCTGCACTCTGTAGTGCAATTGCACTCGCCGGGGAGCGTCAGTAAAGCTGTGGTGATGGGAGGTGCACCATGGCTACATTGGAACGCCTCATCTGACGTATGGTGCTTTGACCTGCACAAGCACTACTGGCAAAACGCCAGCATTGGCGATAGGCACCTGGCGCCTTTACCTAGGGCACGGATTATCCTGGGACAAGCAGTATTTACAGTGGCTGAAGACAGTGGAATGCCAGTTCTAGTAGCATATGGTGGTGGACCCGCTGATCAGGCTCTACCCCTTGGTGAAATTTTTCTGACTGGAAATATCAGTGCTTTGGTCTTCACCAATTTGTCTGCATGTCACGGTCACTGGCGGAAGATAAAGACCGGCATAAATGCTCTACCAATAATTGCTGGACATACCGTACCAGTGACCCGAAGAAATGATATATATGTGTACGGTGGAACGGTACAGAAAAAGCACAAGTGTGGCTACTTCTTTCGCCTGCACCTACACGACCTTGGCACAGACAGCAGAACGGCATCATGCAGTGCAATACAACATAGCGCACTGGCATCATTCCCAAAGAGAAACTTTGGACACACTCTGAATGTCCTTTCAGATCACGCTTTCCTGCTGCTTGGTGGCATTCAAATGGGTGCTAGCTACCCTTGTTTCAATGCCTGTACTGCTCACTTCCTACAGTTCAACGACAGCAACCAAAATGCCGTGGATATCCTGCCGTATTTCAGACACGTGCCTGTTGTTTACCACCAAGTCTATGAGAACTCAATGCTTGGCGGGCTTTCAACAAGAAACACAGATCTACTGATGACGAAGAAAGATACTCCGTTGTCATACATGTCAGCTTCAACAACTTGTACTGGACGGATACGCACTCAACAAAATTGTCCAATTGGCTGGGGCAATGGCGGTGACTTGACCAAGAAGTGTAGCCCATGTCAGAACGGGTTCTACTCCGACACACTCTCAGACGTTTGTCGCCGCTGTCCTGGGTTCCAATTGACAAACTTCACAGACAACCAGGAGTCATGCTTTGCGCTGAATCCATGCGCAAACGATCATTGTCATCGAGGCAAATGCCTAGTGGTGAACGGATCCGCTGTTTGTTCGTGCCCTGTGGGCTATGTGCAGTATGATAACTGCCAGTTACCACTCATCTTCATTGCCGCTGCTGTTGGATCTGCAGTTGTGTTTGCTGCAGCCTTGCTCACTACTATCCGCGCATGCATGAAGACAAAGAAAGAATCGCAGAACAAGGACAAGGAGTTGCAGTCCATGGAGCAGCGTCTCAGTGACATTGAGAAACTCCTGCGCGAACTAGCTCGCAGTCGTATCATTGAACGCCATGAGATCAGTCTGCTTCACCGCATAGCGAAGACAGACACTTGCTATATCTGGCTGGCCAAAGTCTTCGACACCAAAGTAGTTGTCAAACTGCTACGAAACATCAAGATGGCAGAGACAAGAAAGGAGCAGTTCTATCTGGAGGCAGAGGAGCTCCGACGTGTTCGACACCAAAATGTGATAATGTTCCTGGGTGCCGGCACGGATCCCAAGACGAATCAGCCGTTCATTGTGCTGGAGCATGCTAGGAGAGGTTCACTGCATGCAATCCTCCACGATCATAGCATCAGTGTTACGCCAGATGACTCACTGCGCTTTGCCTTGCAGGCAGCACGGGGCATGAAGTTTCTGCATGGACTGGACCCTGCCCGCATCCACTGTAATCTGAAAACACCAAACCTGCTAGTGACGGAGAAATGGGTGGTGAAAGTGGCTGATTTTGGCATGATGGGTCTACTGTCCAGAGCAGATGAGCAAGGTGGAACATGTCAAGATCGCAATGAACTGTTGTCAGGAACTCAGGGAGCTCTCTTCCCCAATCCCGAGGAAGAGAATGAGAGTGAAGAGAGTCAAGCACTCCTGCTGATATCACCAGTAAAACGTAAGCAGCTTAACGGCAGCGGTGTGCTGGGACGATACGTGGAAAGTGCATGGAGCGCTCCGGAAACACTGACTGATATGAAGTTCAACTGTGCAACAGATGTTTACAGGTAAGAGAGCACAGTATAACCTGCATGATGTAAGCGACCTCTGGTTTTAGCGACCATCTACCTTCTACCTTCAACGGCCGTTTTTCCATGCACGGACAGCTCTACACCGAACCATGCACGGACAGTTCTACACCGAAACTGCACCGCATACAGAGACCACCTGCCTTGCGCGACCAGTGACCGACTTTTAGTGTACCAAGTGCCATATTGGACCTGCACACAGCGACCAAAAGTAACCAAAAGTGCCATGTTGGCTGGCAGGGTTGAAATGCGCTCTGAAGCAAATGAATCCAGTCAACAGAAGTGACCAAGGTGACAGTGCAGGATGCGCTGCATGCGATCCAGAGAGGTGTGCTTTGCCTGCACGAAAGTATTCTATGCTCTGCACCTGTCAAGATGTGTACATTGAAGTACAACCATGCACAAGTATGTACACAATCTGAAATGCCACAAATGTATGCGATCTGGTTCTAAAGACCACCTGACCTTAACGACCGCTTTTGCTTGCACTCTATAAACGAATTTCCATAATTAATATCACAAATACATATAATTAGCCCATGTCAGTGTAAGGTGTGTTTGACCTCAGCTGGTGTGTGGAAATTTAGCCTGACCTGCCGATTTCAATAGTGAGATGTGCTCTTCAGCCATGGTATGAAACAGGTGTATTTGTTCTGCATCTGTTGAAGCCTTCCTTTTGTGCACTGTTTCATTCTGCAGCTATGGCA